GTTTTATAGCTAAGGATATTGAAGCTCAGATAGTAAGTAGCGATACCTGGATTTATATCCAGGCCTGACCCCAGAGAGAGGTGAGTCAGAACCTGGAGACTTTAAAAAAACTATATGTGACATGAATGCCTCACCTGGAGTTTGATCCACCTTCCTGTCTGGAGAGACACTGCCATGATTTGAGCTACCATTAATGGAGTGTGTCATGTTGGAACAGAAAACAGAAGTGGAGAGCAAGGCCTTTGAGCTTGAAAGTGACATTCTTGCTAGTTGGATATGGCTCTTTGGACAAAGCTACACTTTTCCTTATTTGTAGAATGAAGGCTTTGTCTGTGGGTTCTCAAATTCTTGATAGAGAAGGAGTACTCTTTTTTATTTAAGGCATTGATTGATTGTTGGAGGAGCTGTGCAGTTGGAAAATGTGTGCCTTTGGAAGGCTAGGGGAAGGCAAAGACAGAAATTTGTTATTTTGCTTTTCTAGCCATATTCCAAAGAGATGTGGGGTTGGAGAGTGGGCAGCAGCCACTGACTCTCTGCTCTCTCCTTCCTGCTCAGAAGCAACTTAGGCTTCTTGGTTTTCTTGCATCTCTATTCTGAAAGGAGGAAGAAATGGTCAAATCAAATGAAGATTCTGGGAAGAGATGGTATCTAAAATTCTTGTTGGGCTTTAGGGGAAGAAGCAGGTACGACTCCTCTCTTGTTCTCCTAAGTTCACAAGTTGAGGAGCAGACAGAGGAGATAAAAATAAAGGTTTTATTATTGACGGAAGCTGGACTGAAGGAATGCTCAGGTGCATTGTCTCAGTGGGCTTTCTGAGACTCCATTTCCAAATGAGACAAATTTACCCACCCAGTTCCCAGCCCAGCTGGACTGCTGCTGGCATCCGCAACACAGATGCAGAGTCCACCTGACACATGGCAAGAACAGGCCCAAAAGTGCACCCTTTGTGGGCAAGCAGATTCAAAAGAGAAAGCCTGAGGTGACCAAGCCAGTCAGGTACTCTGGGGAGAGAGATCAGGGCTGCCTCCTTAGGGAAGTGTGTCTTTTTATGAAACTGTGAGGCCCAGTGAATGGGATTCCTCCCAGGCTCCCTTCCAGGTGTAATAAGCTGTGATTAAGTTTTCCCCTCCTTTATCAGTATGCTTGTCCATCAGGAATATACTGCTGATAAAAGCGTAGCTTACGTTTGCTTAGTCCTGCCCCGGCCGTGTGCTTCATGAGTACTGTCTTTAGTTGCCGGAAAGTGGCTCTGTGTTTTCATCCATTACATTTCTGACTTCATGCAAAGTTTGCCAGCAAAGGTGCTCTGAAGTGCCAGTCACAGTGGTGTTTTTGGTTATGTTCACATCTGGTCCCTTTTGTCTTACCCAGCACCCGTTCTACTTCAAACCTTCCTAAGACCTAAGTCAAATTCATGTAAATACAACTTTCACATGGGCCTGCTATACCACAGGTTTTCATTTGCCGAAAGTGTTCATCTGGGTTCCAGAAATTTGGCCAAAGTGTGGGTCACTGAACTTACGGTCTGTGTTCATGTGGGTGAAATTATAGTAAGAACATTCCCTCTTCCTGCCCCACTTTCACACATGTTCCAGCCACTCTGAGTGAGCATTTTAGTAAATACATTGATTATAAGGCACTCAGATAAGCTGTTGAAAGTTTATTAATTTTATTCAGCTGTAGTATAACCTTCAGCTACAGGGGAATCTTTGTGTTATGTTGCTTTAACCTCTTGAGACCTTCGTGGGAGCCATACTGTTTAAACGTGACACAGAAACTTGGATAAAGTCCAGAGGAACTTAGCAAAAATAATTAAAGGCATGGAAAATGGGCACTACACAGAAGAAAATGCATGGAGACTGATGATTTGAAAGAGGAATCTGGTGGGGAACAGGTCTTAGAGTTGTAAAGAATATGAACACTTGCTTTGATAGAAAGGGCAGCGTTTTTGAGTTGGTGCTGAGTCTGTGGAAGACCATGACTTTGTAGAAGCACAGAATGGGCCAGGCGGGTGGTTCACGCCTTTAATCCCAGCACTTTAGGAGGCCAAGGCAGGTGGATTGCGACATCAGGAGATCGAGACCATCCTGGCTAATATGGTGAAACCCTGTCTCTACTAAAAATACAAAAATTAACTGGGCATGATGATGCGTGCCTGTAATCCCAGCTGCTAAGGAGACTGAGGCAGGAGAACCTCTTGGATCTGGGAGACAGAGGTTGCAGTGAGCTGAGCTTGCACCACTACACTCCAGCCTGGCGACCATGTTAAAGTTGGGGAAAAAGAGGTCCCAGAAACTGAGTTGTCTGCCTTGGTCACAAAGAGCCAGTCTGAGAAGATGCTAAAGCCCAGGTTTCCTGATCCCTACATGGAAAACTAGGAGTGGCTTCCCTGATGCCATTCCCATTTCCTCTGTGGGAGCCTACTCTTCTCACCTGGTCAGAGCTTGACTGCATGAAAGTCCTGGATTTTTTCCCAGGCTTTGATTATAACGGTACTAATTCATACAGCTAGAATCATTTTAGCATAAAAGGCACTGAGCTAGTGCCTTTTATGCCCAGAGAGACTCTAACTCACCTTGTTCCTGACTGGAAAAGGATATGAGAGAACTTACCATGGAGATGGAATATTCTCTGTCAGGTTTAGGTTGTATATGATCATCAGAAAGTCATTAGGCCAACCACTTTTGGGTATATCCTTGGCTACCTCAGCATTCTCTAACTTTAGGGTTCTTGGCAGCAAGAAATAATCTTTCCCCATCTTGTGTTTAGAGAGGCCATTAGAATGACCTGCAAAATTGTGCTATGGTAGATACAATTTAAACTTAGGCCCCAGCTTTGTCCAGAAGTTGCCTGCACATCTCCAGTTTCTGTTGTTTAACTACTCTGAAAGCTTTACAATAGAGACTATATGAACTGAAATTACTGTAGCATATTATATATCTGTGTAGATACGTGAGAAAAAAACATCATGGTGATTAATTTAAGTGGCCTTTTTCACTTTGGGAGACCTTTGGCTGCATTCATACACCAGCACAGTACTTGTCATTAGGTGGGCACTGCAGCCTTTTTTAGTTAAATGTCCACCAACAGTCACTTTGACTCACTCTCTCCACAAAGTCCAGAGACTTTGGCCAGAATTCAGTGTCAAGAATTCTGACCTTCATGTCATCTTCCTCTGACAAGTTTTTATGGGTCTCTACCCATTTTCTTACTCTCCACTGTGGTGAAATGCCTTTGGGTGCTAGAAGCTGCGTTCTGTGTACCATGATGGTAGAAAATGAGACTTATCTGTACCTAGCCACATTGGTCTCCTGAGTGCTGGCCTTGGGTAAGCGAAAGTTACTTCATAAATTTGGAGAGGAATTATTGTTGCATTCTGCCTGTATTGGGACATGCCAGCATCTTAAGATTTTTCAGTATTCACTGTGAGTCAAGTGAGCCCCTATAGTTAGAATTGGCTGGATGCAGTGGTTCATGCCTATGATTCCAGCACTTTGGGAGGCCAAGGCAGGAGGATCATTTGACACAAGAAGTTTGAGACCACTCTGGGTTACAAAGTGAGACCCCATCTCCAGACTCCATCTCTTTAAAAAAAAAAAAAAAAGCTAGATGTGGCAAGGCAACACAACTGTAGTCCCAGCTACTCAGGAGACTGAGGTGGGAGGATTGCTTGAGCCCAGGAGTTGGAGGCTACAGTGAGCTATGAGCCTGCCATTGCAGTCCAGCCTGGGCAATAATATAATAATAATATGCTGATGTGGTGGTTCATGCCTATAATCCCAGCACTTTGTAAGTCAAAGGTGGTGGATTACCTGAGGTCAGGAGTTTGAGACCAGCCTGGCCAACATGATAAAACCCCGTCTCTACTAAAACATACAAAATTAGTCAGGCGTGGTGGCATGTACCTGTAATCCCAGCTACTTGGGAGGCTGAGGGAGGAGACTGACTTGAACCCAGGAGATGGAAGTTGCAGTGAGCCAAGATCGCGCCACTACACTTTAGCCTGGGAGACAGAGCTAGACTCCATCTCAAATAAATAAATAAACATGAATAAATAAACAAAGATTAGAGGGGTTTTTCATTTTGTTTGAATAAAAGACATGTTATCAGGTGAAAAAATTGACTACCGTTGGATGTAGCTTTGAGTTTATAAGTTCTCTTGAGGCCTGTGACTCAGGTTCTAGGAATTTTCTTTCAGCTCTGCCTTTGATGGAATAACTGGCAGTGGTCAGATGAAACAGGCTGGGGTCTGATCTTTTTCCTTAAAAGGCTGGCTCAGTTAAATTTGTACTGAAAGTGGGTTGGAAAATATTTTATCAAAAGTGCCTCTGTATTCCTCAGTAACAGCTTTTGATGGGCTGTGTTAAGAACATCTAGATCACCATTCAGTAAAATGGTTTGTGTTCTTTTGAAGAGTTTGAACCTGTAACTTTCATTTGGTTCTTGGTTCTACCTCAGTCCAAGTCTTTTATTCCAGGTAATTTCAGAATTGGATATTTAATTTGTGTGTACTGCTCCTTCCTTTGTGAGTTATGAATTGTCTCTAATTGGAGATTGGTCATATATGGTGATAATTGAAAACACCTAACTGAAGGGAGGAATTATTTGTATTTTGGTAAGAAGTTTTATTGTTTTGAGTCCCCCACAACAAAGTCCCCTGCAACATATTAAAGTCCCGTCTCTACTAAAAAATATGAAATTAACCATGTGTGGCGGCTGGCTAATTATTGAATCCTCCAGAACAAAGTTTATTCTAAAACAAAATTTTACTGCTTTCGCTTATCTTAGATTGAAGCTAGTCTATTGATTCAAACACATCAATAAGTATTTGACCTGTAAATTTTCACTGCTTTACAGAGCCAGTCAAACCAAGAATTGAAATGAGCAGTCTTTGCTTGTGAGCCTGTCTCCTAAAAGTTGTCTACATGCCTCACCTCCACAACAGGAGGAATAAACATGGTTTACCTTAAGTGCATCTATTTATTTTGTGTTGTTCCCAGGCATATTGGTGTTTGTAGTCACATGGAATACCCCTGCCGCTTCAAGAACGCTTCTGCCGCCACCCAGGAGATCATTCCTTATCGGGTCTTTGCCCCCGTGTGCCTCAAGGGTGCCTGCCAAGAGACCCTTCTGCGGCTGATCCCTCCTTGCCTCTCAGCAGCACATTCTGTTCTGGGAACACACCCGTTCTCTCGGCTGGATGTTCTCATCGTCCCTGCCAACTTTCCAAGTCTGGGGATGGCCAGGTATGTTGTTCCACTGTGGCACTTGGGGTACCTAGTTTTGGGAAGACTATGGCTTGCTTTATTCGAGCTCTGTCAGAGCTGTCATTTGACTAGAGTGGAAAGACTATGGCTGCTTATGCTTGGACATCTCATCGCTGCCTTGAGGGACAATTTGAATACAGACTCCCTCATGCATAAACCTTTGAGTGTCATCGGCTCCATTCAGACTGTGTTGAAAAGAAAAGGCTTACATTGTTGCTGGGATTGAGAAGACATAGTGCCCCCAGAGTGGTGAATGTTGGATCACCGCTGATCAGTGGCTGTTAGCTTGAATGATGACAGCATAATGCTAATGAGCCCAAGGTTATAGCATCAGGTTCTGAGCACAGTAACATAACTTGGTTCCAAGGCCACAGCTACTCACCTAATCCTGACCAGCTGTCTTGTCCATTCTCACCATTGGTCACAAGGGCAATGACTTGAGAGCCCCTGTGTCAGATAGACTGTGGATGAATTAGTATAAATTCATCCCTACTGCTAGAAAAACACCTCAAAGCAGATATGTTTACTGTGGGGGCTGGAGGAGAAGTCACTTGCTACTATTTTTTAATATAATAAATGTACTTTTCCTATTGTATCTTGGTTTGGTTCCTTGTATGTGTTTAAGCTAAAATCTATTCATTATTGCCATTGTTCAGTCATTGATGGGTATCTGTGTCCCACTGAGAAAAGATAGGAAATGGATTCAAGATTTTACTTGGTTATGTTTCTATTTGGTGAAAATCTTAATCATTAGCAGGGAATATGCTTGACTAAGGATGGGAAAAATAAGCTCACCAAAACATGTGACTTCAAGTTTTTCCCCATTAGTCAAGGAAATTCCTGCTGCCAGTTAATTCCCATGCTTTTGAGCAGCTGTCATTTGTGGTGTTTTCCCTGAAAACTGCACACATTCTTAGTAAAACCATGAGCAGAAAAGAATTGACCAGAACATTTGCTTTTGATCTTTACTACATACATAGACTTTAAAAAGACTGGCTGGCTCGCCTTAATCCTTGAGGAGGTCTGAGAAAGTCATTTAGACTCATTTTTATCCTATATTTATGAAGGTAATGGGAATACAGAAACTAGGATAATTTTATATATATCTATATATATGGTTATGTGTATCATATAATTGTCTTGGATGTCTATACATAGAATTTGTCATAATGGGGGGCTTCTTTTGTCCATTTGAAGAGTCTGCTGAACTTAATTTAAGTAGAGGTATTGGTTAAGAAAGAGTTGTTCATTAAATGTTTCTTATTTGTACACGGGTTTGAGGGCCCATATTTACTTGGGAGTTTTTAGCACTTTATGAGAATTGCAGCTTTTTAGGGCATGTTTGCTAGCAGTTCCAAGTTCTAGCCTGAGGGAACCAAAGGCAGAGTATTTTTCATGCACAGGATTCTGTTTTCTGTAGCTCCTTCCTGACATCCGTCTGCCAAAACCAGAGTGAGTTGACCTGCAGGCCATTCTATAAACCTTCTCTTTTCGAGTTTGCATGCCCAAGCAGGTAGGGCGTCTGCTGCTTTTTGCGACATTTAAACGTGCTTAACTCAGTATTTTTAAAGTAGTAAGCCTAAGTACCATACGGCCTAATGATCCTGGGCACAAATGTTGAAAAATATGATGGTGATAATAACCTAGCAGCAACAAAACTGCTTTTATGCTTAAAAGTAGGAGAACCATACATTCAGAATTTGTGATTTGTTGTAAAATACCATTTTTTTTTTCTTTTTAGACAGTGGAAGTAAAGTCTGCCCAGGTCTAGAGGTTTTCCTGGAGTTATTACCATTTCCTGGATGAGAGCTATAGAAGGGGGATTGTGGTATCTTCCACTGCTAGTTGGGGTAGGGAAGGAGAGCACTCTGTTTTTGCAAGCTCTGACTTCAGTTGATTCCACTTGCTTGGCTTGACCCTGTCAGAATCCCAATACCTTGGGCCACATGCAGCTGAATGGGATTTATGACTCAGCTGGCTACTGGGGCCCTGCTGCTTTATTTATGGTCGAGGCTTTGCTTGGGATTGTATAAAGCAAAGCTGGAACAAAAATGATGGTTTTGTAAGTCAACTTCATACCCTAAACAGGAGTAGAGAAACCTCAAGGCTAGGAGGAGTCATCCAAAAAGACCTCCATTGTCCTCTTAGTTATAATATGCTGAGAGATCAAAGGACTTCTTGGTAAAGTAAATGGCTCTTTCCCGAGTCCATATTTTATAAACATGTATGCAAGATCATAAATTCCATACCTCTGGACTTCTTTAGTGATTAGATCTTAATTGTAATGAATACTACTTTATACCATTTCAGTATTCTTTTTTGGCAAATGACATTAAACATTCCTACATGAACTAAAATGGGTGAATTATAATTAACCATTTTAAAGAGTTTCTGAGAATTTTGGATAATATTAATAATGATTCCACTATTTTAAATGTTATATTTCATAGTTTTTATGAATAAACTTAAAAGTCTCTTTGATTCTGTTTTTGAGCTTGATTCTGATACTTCAGTGAAGTGGGGGAAAAAACACATTTATAAAACTTGAATGTATGGTAATGATAAATCAGTTGATAAGAAGGTAAATAATACACAGTTAATATTTTAGAATTTTGAATGCTTTTCAAACATATCAGTAACTAGAACATTTATCAACACTTTTTCTTCATGATTTTTGTCACCTTTTAATATAACAGGAGCCATTACTAATTGACCGGCTTCCCTACCCCAGTCCTTTTCTGAATCCCTGTTCCAGAGGAGAGAGGCTTTAGTTCTGTTCTGATTCTGAAAAAAATCACTAGTTTGCCTTTCAGATGCTTTCCTCAGTGGTTGTGTGTGGGCTTTCAGTTTTTGTTGCATTGTGTTTTTGCCTTCCATGAAGAATGAATCTGCCATATCAGGAACCATAAAGCGTACATTTCTTGGCTTGACTACTATGATGTCTATATGAAGAATATGCATGCCTTTAAAATGCGTCTTTGAAATACACACAGTTCTCTTCCTGTTGGTTTAATTAATATTCTAACATTTCCATTGTGTCCTCATCTGTTCTCAGAGTCTTTGCTGGGGATTGACTGGCAAGCCTAATTCTTAGTTTTAAGAAATACATGAAATGAGCTCATCATCACACTTACATTCTTTGTTATAACAGCAGTAATGTTAGTGGAATAATATTCTAGAACCAGGCTTATGACAGTTGCTAAAAAATTAACACCTTAGTCTTACCTCTGTATGTGTGTATAATAAATGCTTTGCTTCACATTTGTCTTTCGGCAGTTCACAATTACATGTCATGGGCATAATTAGCTTGGCAGAACTACCTTGCTGACATCTAAATATGTTCTTTTTTTTTCTTTGTATTTGAATTTCATGAATCTCCTGCAACTTATTTCAGAGTGGTTTTCTGTTAAGAGCCCAGAAGTTTAAAAACCATGTGCTCTATAGCTCTGCTTCATGGCTCAGCTATTCACGTGCAGCTTTACCCTTTGTCCCACTGGGAAAATTGAGAGGAAGAGATGACTACAGTGTGGTCATTGACAGGTGACAGATTCTGTGACCTCTTCCCCACTGGTTCTATACCAGATAGTCTTGATCATTTGCTTATTGTTTATTTATTCTCGCAATAAATATATATCAAGTGTATACTGTGCCAGATAAAACTCAGGATGCAGAGCCTACAAGGGTGAACGAGACTGATGAAGTCTCTGTCCTTATGGAGTGGACGTTCAAGTCAGGGGAGAAAATTAGTATACGTGAAACAAGTAATTAAGATGTATGCTATGAAGAAAATAAAATGAAGTGAGTGTCAGAGTGGGAGAATCTGTAGCATCATTAGGGTGAGAGGGAAAAGCTTCCTTAAAGAGTGACATTTGGGCTGAGACTGAGGAATAAAAAGGAATCAGCTTTGTGACCATCTGATGGAAAAACACTCCAGTCCACAGGCCTCCAGGTGAGAACCAATCTCATGAGTTGGAGGACTAGAATGAAGGCCTGGATGGTGGCAGGTCAGTGAGCTCTTTAGAATGGCTTTCCTTAGTCCCATCATTAGCTTGGGTGCCAGGAACAAAAGAGCCACTAAGAAATGGCAAGATTGAGTCAGGTCCGTCATTCTAGGCAGAGCCTACAAGGGGTTATGGGATAAGATCAAATCTTTTTTTTAAATTTTCTTGGGACCGTTGATGTCCATATCATCTCCTGAATGGCTAATTAGAACCTGATTAGCTTAGCAGCTGCTGTTCTTCAGCAGAATTCTCCATGGCTGAAGCTCTCAGAACACCTGGCACCCAGACTGGCAACTGTCCCTTTGTAAAGAAGGGAGAAGTCTCAGATCACCATGTTCTCTTCCCCTGGTCGCTGTTGATTCTTTGCAAGGTTTTTTGACACCATCAGTCACAGAGAGGGAAGCTGTGTCTATATATTTGCTCATCCTAGTATTAAAGGTTTTTTTTTTTTTTTTTAAAAAAATAGGATTGACAGGGAGCATAGAGAAAATGATCAATTATTTAAAATCTTCAATGTGCTTCACTATAAGGAAAAACTATAAAGCTCCCTATTATACAAGGCTTATTCTTAAAAGATTTGATTGTGCAATAAAAGACTTCTGAATGCTTATACTAGTTCCTGACTATTGCATGCACAATTTTCTTAAGTACCTCAATTTGCAAGTAAATGGTATGCACGTACATGCCCAAGAATGAATGTAACCAGCTTTTTCCTCCTCCCAGGTTAGACTGGGTGTTGTCCTGTTTATTCTTATCTCCCAGCCAATGTGTAATAGAATAAGCAAAACATAACATGCTGGTACAAAGGGCCTGTTGTTTTCGGCTTTCTAATTGTGCTCTTTTCTGCTGGGGAAGGAGGCAGTCATAAATTTCTGTCATTATCTTAAGTAGCAAGGTTTCACAGCTTTGAAACTTTTTCTTTGCTTATTCTTTGTTGGCTTTACTTGAATTTTTGATCCCCCAAACCAAAACTACCAT